CAGTTATTAGGTGGAGTTGTGAGAAGGGCTAGCTGACCTTTGTTTCAAACTCAGGCTAAGTAAACTCATCGTTTCGTCCTTTTGAATTACAGATATTCAGCACTGGACTATTTCCATACTTCTTTCTCAGTACATAGGGGGCAAGATTATGGTGATAATAGTGCAGAAAGGTGTTTGTGGAGGTGAGGGAAGACGGTTTTCCACTGTACAGGATGATGAACATGCAGCCTGCTTCACCCATGCCTTGAAATACCCTGAACTTGTAAGGACTTGGACTATTATACAACAGCGGTGGCATGCTGGTAGGTGGTATGAGTGTACCACCCTGAATGTAAGTATTTCAGGTCCTCTTTCTTGGAAGGAAACTGTAGATTTTTCTTACTCCCCGTTTGGCAGTATTACTCAGCCAAGGCCTAGTTTGTCCTGTTTCAATTACTATTTATGTTATGTGGAGACCCTATTCACAATCCCTTACACAGCTTCTGTTGTAGAAAACTTGCAATTAAAGGTTATAGCGTTCAATGACAGGATGATAAATGTACGGGTAGGGTGGCATGGGAATAAAATTATGGGTAAAGAGAGTCCTGCTACATGTATTTGCACTCGGTAACATGGAAATCGCTGATTATAGTGTGTTTCCACAGATATTCGTAAATTATCAGTGATTTAAAAAGGTGATATGCTCTTTTTGAACCCTGAAGTGTTTCCTTTTCTACTTAGATACTGAAAATCTCTTGAGCACTTGCAAGTTTTTAACGTGTGAAAGAATTACAGGTATGCCACAGCACCACGTACACAGATGTGCACACCAGACTCCTGTAAATGTCGTCATGCTTGCGTATAAAGTTGTATTCATTACAGAACAGCTGCATCTGTATTGTAAGGACTTGTACAGTGGTTTCTTGGTAGACATTTGGTACAGCATTAAACATGTAAATAAGGATTATTTGCTTTCAGAACAGAGAGTAATACATTAAGTGCAAGTCGCAAGTCTGAGGAGATGTATTTGAGGATGCAGAACTGCTTTCTTGTGACATCTGGGCATTATATCTTGAACAGATTGAGCCCTCTGGAGACCCCTAGGATCAGGATGTAGAAGAGTCCTCTTGTGCTCTTCCATTGAACTGTACTCCATTAGAGAGCAAGTGATACAAAATCTTGGAGATGTCCTTTCCTTTTGAAAGGAAAACGAGTGATTTCATACATTTGGGGCACATTCTGCCCTGGTGTAGGTGGATGCAATTGCCTGTATGTCAGTGTAGTAGCACCCACGGATGTGAGGGAAGACATATGACTGAAAGAATGGAAAATACTGCAGAGAAGGCTAAGTCAATAAAAGAAATTAAATGAAGACTAACAGCATTAGCCTCTTGCTTTCTGTGTCCTAAAAGAGTTTAAGCTAAGAGCTAGGGAGGCTATTTATTAAAGGATGAAAATGGAATGTTAGCAAAGTTGAATAAATTGGATGTTGTTGGGAACTTGCTTGAGTCTTTGTCTCTGGATTCACAAAAGGGCATCGAGGTCATATGCTGAGGTTAGATAGTGTTTTCCAGAAAGGAGAAATTTGTACCTGTGGTGACAGAGAGAGGGAAGCAGTGGTAATGCAACTATTGCCTTTTACTGTAGGGATTGAAAGTCTTTTATGTACGAGTCTAATATTCAGCATTGAGTTTTAACACATGTAATGATCTTGGAAGGTGGAAAGGCCACAGATAATGTCCTGACATACAAAAGAAACTTGATATTTTTAGAGTTATTAGGAACTGGCATATTTGATGGGTAGTCTTTAATGGATTAGGTTTGTTGTGTTCTTCTTTTAGTCTGGCTGTTCAATCAGCAAGATTAAACAGTAACTCTGCATTTGCAAGGAGGCTTTTGAAACAAAGAAGAGTCAGCCTGCGAAGACGTATGAGTGAGGCATAAAAATTTGTAGCAGCAGGGAGAGACCTTGGAGCGGCAACAGCAGCAGTCAAAACTTGGTGTGACGCTGCCAGAAGTACCACCAGCATCCCAACCTCTGCTGAGGCTGGGCAGAACAGCTGCCCCGATGGACACCACGAGGAGCCGGCATCCAGCTAGTGGGGTGACAGCACGGGGTGCTGCAGTGGAGACACACACTGGGGTGCCTGTGTGTGAGACCGGGGGACCTTTGTCACTGGTGTGTGTGGGGGGAGTACCCTCATCTCACAGGAGGGGTGTGCGAGTAGGGGAGCCCCCATTGCCAGGAGCGGGGTGAGTGCTGGGGGCCCATGTGGCCTCTGAAGAGGTGGTGTGCACATAACTCTGCACACTGTGGGATTAGAGCTTTGGGGGATTAGTTATGAAGGCTCTTTTGAAATTTGTAGGTGTTTATTAACATTTTGTATCATCTTTTGTTTAGAAATGTAGGTGTACCCGGAGTGGCTAAATTTCAGCACTGCAGTTATTCTTCAATGGCAATGATAGTGATGAGGCACAGTAAAGGAGTTAATGGCATAGCTCAGCTCTCCTGGTTGGTGTTGTACTGGTTGAAACACTTCTAATAACTTGGAGTTGGTGAACCTCAAGAGATGCATCCCCAGGTACAAAAGTGAGTGGTGTATATTCCAGCTAGCTGTGACAAGCCCTGCAGAGGATTGGAAGCTCTTCCATCCAACAGGAGTTAGCGTGGAAATTGCAGTAGTTTTCATCTTCTTGCGCACTACCTGAATTTTGTAAACAGAGTACAGACAACAAGAGAATTTGTGTCATGGAGTCAATTACATACGTAAGAGCTAGGAGAGATACTGATATGCTGTTCAGCGGATACACTCTCCTCCTCGGGGTTGTCAAGAAAATCCTAACAAGGTGAGACCTCAGAGAGAAAAGAATGAAGTACTGTCCGTATATTGAAATAGTTTTTAAACATTCATATGCTAGACTTCAATTAAGAGGAAGAAATATATAGATACTTAAAATGACACAGAAAATTCAGGAAAATAGTAATGCATTGCGTGGATGGAAAATTGAACACAATTTTTGAAGAAAAAAAACCTAGTAAGTGTATTAAGCATCTGACTAGCATCATCATCATTATCTAAGTAGATAAGCAGGCTTAGCAAGGAGGTGGTATGCTTTGGTGTAAATCTGATATGGGGGAGGCCTATGCATGTGTTGAGAGATCTTTGTGGTAGGCAGTACTGAAATTTTTCATCATCATGATTGTCAACGTTGCACTAATTTTCTGAAGTATGGCTAGAGACCATGATATAGGATGTAAACATCAGCATAGGTTACATAAGATAAATTTCCTATGATGTGAATTATTCGAAAAAGATAATCCCATTCTTTTTCCCCTTAAAATTCAGCATTTTTCTGAATTCCAAATTTTGGAATTTAGCATGGTTTTTGCAGTGAAAGGCACTGTGTATTACTAATTGATTGCCTCAGTCCTCTGTAAGCCAGCAGGCTCTTGTCTCTGCATAGAGCCCCACTGTGTTGTTCAAGCTCCATGTGTGGGCTTTAAACCTCTCAGCTGTCTTTGAAGTAGACATTCTTTTTCATCTGTTTTACATGTGGGAAACTGCTATGTAGGCTGATAATGTGTCTTTGCTATCTGAAAATTCAGTAAATAACGTCAGAGATTTGAGAAGCATTCCACATTGTACTTTTTTTAGCTTTAGATTATGTTTCGTCTAAGGTAGTCTATTAACATCAAATACAAATTGCCTTGGAGACAAAGCTTAGAAAAAACAGTGTTGTCATTCCATGCTGTAGCCGTGAAATCCTTATCGACGACGTCCTTATAGTCCCGTTGCATTATTTCTGTTTTGTCTTTGGATCATTACTTATTTGATAGACCAGTCATTCACCTCCATCCTGCTGCTCTTTCATGTAGTGCAGTACCACTGCACTGGAAGGCGGTGCAGACTTCTCATTCCCTCAGGAGTTAAAAACCCCATGCTTTCTTCCCTTTTTCTTTTAAGCTGGATTCTTTTCTGGTTTTTGCATTTTGCTGTATTTTATGCCACAGGAACAATGTTCATGATGTGGGTGTCACTTTGCTTTGATGTTTAGCCATCCTTGAAAACTGTTTACTGCTTCATGTGCTCCCTTGTCATGAGCACTCTCTCTTAAATGACCTGGCATCATGACAAGATATTTAAATCCACAAGTAGGTATTATTAGCTGTTTGTTTCTTTCAAGTTTTTTGCTGTATATATAGAAACACACTTTTTCGATAGTACAAAGAAAGAAGGTAAAAGTTGTATAAGATCGAAGCATCCACTATTTTTATTTTTGAATGTAATCCCTGGATGATGCACCATGGGCTAGCTGGAAATTTGATCTTTATTGACTCTGCCACCTAAGAGAAGAAAGAAAATAGGTAAAAACGAAAATAGTAATTGGAAATAGCTCCTGCGGAGCAAAGCTGTCATGAAGCAGATTGATTCAGCAGTAGCAGAGTTGGTTTATTGATTGTGAGTCCTTAGTAAATTAAAAAGAGGATCAAATGTGTTAATCTTTTGTGTGCGTGTGTGTGTGACAGTGACAATTTAGAATGTTCTGCCAGGATAAAGACACATATAGGAGTGTAGGAATGGTATCTACTTCAGTCAGTAATAGACTTTTCAGAGATAAGACCAGAGTTCTTCAAAAACCCTTCTGGGTTAAATGTTCTTTACTGTACTGTAGACAAAGAAAAGAAGAAATACTGTTGCTTCGGGTTTTTTTAAGTGTTCAGGTAAAGTTATTCTAGATAAAGGAATGAAGCATAGGAATTGCACTAATTTTCTTCAGATGTTCACAATGGGTTCCTTAAATTTGATTCTCTGTCTGAATGTCAAATTTGTTGTTAATAGAAAAAGTGCAAAACTTTAAGACATTCTAGCTGAGAATCTCTGTCTGCTTCGTAATTAAAAGTCAGTTTTGGATTTGGATTTTTGACTCTTCCAATTACTGCTAATTACTCAATGTCATTGCCCATTTGCATGTAAATTAATCCTTTATTTATATTTTCCTCCCCAAATCATCACTGCTTATCATAAGGATGAAATTCATTTAGAAGGGGAGCAGCCACACAGTGTGAGATGATAATACAGAAGCTTTTCCTCCATGGAAAAGTAGGGAACAGGGACAGAGCTGGGATCCTGTGCTGGTGAGGACTAGTGTCTATCCTGTGCCAGGTGTTACGTACAATAGGTCCTGCTTTTCAGCCTCAAATTCTGCACGATCAGAAATTTGTTTCACATATTTCTTGTTGACTTGGCATAGCTGAAATTCATCCAGGAGATCATGCTCTCCTCTTCTACTGTCTTCTATTTTCCTGCCACTTCTGCCTGAAAATCCAGCTACCAGGGACAGTTTTGTGGCCTCTTGTTCCCAACGTGCTATCTGTTATAAAGTACTCTGAATCTCTGCTATTTTGGATGCGCAGTTGTTAACAGGACAGGGTTTGAGGAACATCTTCTGCTAAGAGACTCTGAGGGGCCATGGAGTTGGTGCGGGAAAAGGAACTGGCGATGCATGAGGTAAAGCAGTGGAGAAGTCAGGGAGCTGGTGGAACCGTTTCCCACTGCTTCATATAGAGTCCCCCAGCCTGGTGCGCAGAGGAGTGAAAGGGAGTGAGGTCCTCTTCCAGGGCCTGGAGGGAGATCAGAACTGGAAGTGTAGGAGACCCCATAGAACTGGCAATCATTGACTCTTGGAGAAAGTGCTGTTCTTGAACATCATCTGCAAGAATAGGGTTTTGTAGCTACTACTGACTCAGAAAGAGGGACAGTGGGGTAACTGAGCCTCCAGGAAAGAATCTGGACAGTCTCTCGTTCAGTTTATTCTGCGATATTTCTGAAGAACCCAGTCTCTGTCTTGTCCCCTCACACCTGTCCCCCAACAGCAGTGAGCCAGAGAGGCAACAAACAGACTGAGATACCATCTCACTCATTTCGTCCAACCACTTCCCTCCCCACTTCTTTTCTTTTCATGCTTTTCCTTTCCTTACTTGCTGGTCCTGATTAGTCATCCTCTGGTTTTTCTGCCTTGCCGCATAGCTACATCTTTTTACAGAGGCTTGCACCTAGTCGTGCTTTATGGGACAACCTCCCCATCAGATCTGTGAAGCCACTGTGTTTTCTCCTTCACCCCATGCTTCTTTGAGGATACCTAGAAGAAATTGCTTAGTGCAAGTGAAGGAGTATATTAGCAACTGGCTGCCATTCATCTATTTGTGTAGCTATTGAAGTGTTTCATAATCATTAATCAGAGCTTATAGGTAGGCTTTATTCCTGTTCCCCCGTATCTATCTTCCCCTTTCAGCCCCACTGTTTGTCACCCTCGTCATTTCTTGCCTTAAATTTAGATAGCTCAACAGGAGAAGCTGTGTCACTCTATGTGGGTGGTACTACAGTGCAAATAATTTTTTTCCTAAAAATGTAAATGCCATTGTGCATTTACATTGTGCTCTAGTGTGCACAACATTAAATAGTAAATGTTGTTAAGTGGTAATTTGTAGTGTTTAGAAGTCTTGCTTATTCAGTCTCTGTCTTGGCATTTTTTTTTGTGCTGATTTACTGATCATTGCACCACTGTTTTCTCTTTGTTAAATGTGTCTGTATGCAGAAGCAGAACAGCTTAATTTGTTTCGATCTGGCATACTGTAGTAAGTCTGCTTTTAATTTGCATATTTAGTAGGTTACAAATCAGGTGGCAGCATTTTCATGGTGCTAATTCTCCAGTGTAGCTGGAACCGCTGACTTGAATAGTTTTTGACCACTTTTCTTTTTTGGTAAGTCTTCTGTAACTCATTTTGCTTGCTTAAATGACCTGCTCCTTATTTTCCACAGCAAGAGTTTCTCTCATTTGGGAAATGTAAAAGGATAACATTCCTAGCCCAAGCAGAAGCAAAATGTAGCACTGCCATCTGGGCTGTGAAATTGGAATAAAGCTGAAAGCGTTACCTCAGTATATTGCCATGGCTAGAAACCAGGTGGCAAATAATAAAAGGATGGTCTGGTAGTTCGCATGTTAGTCAGGATCTTGGGAGACTGCATGTGCTGCTTGTGCTGCAAACCTCCAAGAATGTGGGCAGGTTGGAAATTATTTCTCTCACCTAATACTGGTTATCTAAATGTTATGTATCTACTCTATGTAACTACTATGAGTTAATTGTCTCAGCTCGATCTGCTGTGAACGGATAGGCATTTTCAGAGGGCATAGGGTCATTCCACATCACTTAGTTCTACATTTTAGACTAGGATGAATCACTCTGTGGGGATACATGTCTCTCTCTGCATAGACTTCACAAAAAACCAGTAGCTGACTGCCTTAGCTCAGGAACCTAACTTTCAGATGCCTGAGTTACAGCAAAGGAGCCCTGTCTTCCTCTTATGCAGTTGAGGGGTAGTAATCCTTTCCTACCTCACAGGTACACATGGAGATTAAACGGTGTGTATTTTTAGTATTTTAATTATCTGTATACACACGTATATTTGTGACTGCCTCAGATTTTTGAACACAGTGCTGAAAGGCAGAGATCTTAAGGACAGAAACCTAGAGGCTTTTGCATCCCTAGGAAATACTTAGCTGTTTTGTGGCAATATTCTGATGAACACATTGAAGAGGCAAAGCAAGCTAGGACTTAAGAATGCCTGGCATGTATATGAAGCTGTCATGCTCATTTGTGGTGGCTGGTTTTGTTTCTTTTTAGATTGTGATGGATTTCAAACACCCTGATGGCCATACAGTGGCAATTATGCTGCCCCGATGCAGTTTATTGGTGATGGCTGGAGAATCCAGATACCTGTGGACCCATGGGTATGTGTAAGAGTTCCTGCATTGCTGATAATAGAAGAATAATGTATGTTGTTTGTTTGCTTTATTAATGACATTCTATATTTAAAATTGCTTGAAAGAAAACAAGTATTATAATTAATACACAAATTCACTCCTCTGCCTAGATGCTGCTCAGGTTAAACTGAAAAAAATGGGGATTTTAGGAAGCTAATTGCCAGTCCCTGAGCTACAGTTTCCTGCTGCTGTGTCGTGGTTTAACCACGATTGAAGTTTCGCTCAGAAATCACTCTCACTTACATTGGCGGTGTGAAAGTCCTCAATGACTCTGAGCTGGCAAAGAATTGATTGTAGTGCAATTAGCTTCACCATTTCCTTTCTCTCTTTTCAGCCCACAGCTTTTCCCATTGGATTACATATGCCAAAGGCTTTAGAGAAGGGCTGATTTAAGAGAGTGACTTCCCCTGCACAGAGGGCATGAGGGTGACAAAGTGGGGTCTTCCTGAGCTCTTCCAAGCTGCTTTAGGGATGCACTACTGATAAGGCTGCATTGTACTGAGTAGGTTTGGGATCCTGGAAAAGAGATTTCTTGAAATATATCTTGAGGCTTTGCTTATTGTAGAGTTTAAATACATGCTTTTTAAATCATGTACCACTGGGAGATACTTACAATAGGAGTGCTGAAGTTGGCGAAAAGGCTAAAATCTTGGCGAGCTCTGAGGGTGACAGTAGTGCAGTTCAGGAGAATGTGGAAACCCTCATATTGGACAGAAATGCCAATGGTAAATGCTTCTTCCTTTGTCTGACCCAAGCAGTTACAGCAGTCAGTTGAAGACACTAGTTACATTTTGTGTAAATTAAACATCAAATCCTTTTATTCGCAGAAGATTTTCTGCCTTTTAATTTTGCTGGTTAATTTGTATTATGAAGAAGGGTGAATATGAACTCCCCAATGACCTTTACATTGTTCATTTTTATAGAGTGCTTATACCACCTGTATATTCCCTCATTAAATTAAATAGTTGTAAAAAGAAGCTGATACTCCTGACGTGCATCGTTATAGAAGCCCAGGGCAGTGAAGTCCTTTGTTTTTTGGTATACAAGACTGAACACTGATACCAGCATTATAAGCTTTTTATTCTGTCCTGTCAAATACTGTCAGTTGTCTTTTGGAAAGTTTATCTACAACTCTGAGAACATAGTGCAGTTTCCATGTCAGTGATGTTGCTGGCCTGGGGAGCTGGGGGGCAGCCCCCAAGCCCGGGCATCGGGCAGCTCCATGGGACTGGGCTGAGGCCAGATTGGGATGTCAGTCTGGGGGTTAAGGCCCAGAGCAGTGGAGCAGTGTCCATGCACAGACACAGCTGGGGATGCATCTGGGGCTGTAGCTGGGGCAAGGCCCAGTGGGACAGCCTCTGCTTAAAAGCAGCTCCCAGGGGAAGGAGGGGTGGCCCTTGCTGAGGCTTCTGGCTGTCTTCATGACAGCTTTCTCCAAGGTCACCAGCTCTGCTCTTTCCAAGCTGGCCCTGGGCAGCAAAACTCCCAGGAGGGGGAAGGATGCACGCAGGGCACTTGCAGTACTTGCCAGCAGGCATTGCAGTTCAGGTAGTGTACATGCCTACTAAGAACTGGAATGAGATTATTACTTAACTCACTTGTACCTTCAAGTGATGGTTGTCTTTTGAGAACCGATGACATAAGCTATATTTAAAATGAAGATCCCAGATCTTTCTACTCATGTATAAGTTATTCCTGTCCCAGTGCTTGTCCGCCTTTCCTAAAAATAGTTTTTCCTTATATTTTTAAAAGCAGTAGTGGGTCAAGATACTCAACTGGAATAAGCTTTCCATCATGCTGGTGAAGCATACTATTGTAATCAACAAGATTAATCATCCAGCGAGCAAGTGTAGTTAATTCACTTGCATACATAACGTCAGGATGTATTTAAGATCATTTGTGATGCCTTTTATCTACTCCTCAGAAGTAAAATTGGAGAGCAAATGGTTCAATTTTGGAATTATTCTGGAAATGTTTTCAATGTGTATATTTGAATGCCAGGGGAATGAGAGACTTCATTTTGACCCTGTTAACAAAGTGCACAGGAAAATGTTTTTTGTTCTCTTCTCTCTCAAAGAGAAACATATGGTTAAGAAATAAGCTATACAGTGTCATCAAATAGAGCAAAAGATATGTGCTCTTTTTGTCTCATAGGTGAAAGTAAAATTACGGCTTTTCTGATGAGGTTCATTTGTGATGTTTTTTCTGATGAGGTTCTTTTTTGGTTGGGTAACCTGGCAAAACACAATTCCTGACACTGCAATAGTAAAATAACTCTGTGCCAAGCAAGACGATGTGCAGCATTTTATTTTTGGTATTGGGAAGCCTGTTTTTAACCCAGGCTTTGTCTAGAGTTCTTGCTTGTAGTATAGGCAAAAGGAAATTAGTTGAAACTAACCTTGAAAAAGAAGACTTATTTCTGAAAATATTAGCTGCTATGCTTAGCTTATTGCTGCAGGTACAAAAGAAAATCTGCAAACTCGGGATTTGAAGTTCTCCTGTCCAGGGAGTCTTGGGCGTCCTCCGCTGATTATTTCATTATAGCTTCATTATCTGCCATGAACAAGACAGTTCTTTATTAGATCCCATCCTTTCCATGGCTACCTTTGGGAGATTTGCATTCTTGGGGCTGCTCCGTGTCTCCTTTTTGCAACATGTAGATGGCATCAATGTACTGCTTCCTGATTGCCAGACAGAAAGGACCTGCTCTCTTTTTCTGTGTGATTCGATTAGAGATCAGCTTCCCTGCCTGCGGCAGGAAAGATGGAATACAGCGAAGCATGGGAATGCTGATCAGGCTGCAGGCTGCCTTCTTGGCATTCGGATCGTTCTTCTTGGTGAAGTACAGGCACTGGTCAACAGTTTCATGTGACCTGCAAAGAAGTTCCAAAGAAATTTGAGATGAGACTGAATGTTCTGCATTATGAAAAGATGTAAGAGACTTTCTCCCCCTTTTGGCTCAACCTGTGAGAGTTGAACTCAGCTAACCAATATGGAAGTCAGTTTTATACTGACAATTTGTCCTGCTGGGAATCAAGTACTTTGAAGTCAGCAGCTCTGAAGGGGCTTCACTGAGAGGCCAATTTGTTAGAGATGATCCGCCCCCCCCCCCCCCCCCGATGAAATTTCTGCATTAATCTCCTTGATGACTAAGTTCAGGAAGCGTTTCAGTGTGACAGTAACAGTTTTGAAGTGCTAAGCTATTTCCCTGAAGAGTTTCCATTTTGTTGCAAGAGTATCTACTTTTTCCCATGTGCAAGTGATGGGAAACCACACGTGGGTGCAGCTGTTTCTCTTCTCTCATGTTGTGTTCCACATTTTACTTTGTCATTTTCCTCTTCTCAACTTTGTGAGAGATCCATTTGTAGAGCTATTAAAAATTCTTGGTTTGGTACTTTTTTGTAATGTAAATCTCTTCATAAAAATACTTGAAACTTTTGTCACCCCAAAAGGTTCCAAATCACTTTCATTTTATGAATTTTGCCCTTGCAAAAATGTTTTTGTTTTCCATTAAGATCAGTGCCAAATCCAGAAGTAGCTTAAGAAGCAATGCTCCCAGTTTGCTTGATTGATAGATAGATTTTGGTCAAGAAAGAACATCTATAGCAGAGTTTCCCCTTTAGGCATTTTAGCAAATCTCCCAAGTGCTACTTCTTTGCATCTTCTGTTGTCAATAAATGGAAAAGCAATTCTGTTGCAAACCAGAATTCTTTGGAGAGGCCCGTTTGTAACAAGAAACTTCGATCTGCTAATGTAGCGCTCAGCTATGCTTTTATGCCCATAGCCACCATTTTCACTAGTGTATTTTAGCTTTGACAAATATATCCCAGATAAAGTCCTAGAAAAATAAACAATCAAACTTTACAGAAGGAAAGGGAGGGAGGAAAAGGAAATGTAATTACTTGCAATTAAATAACACTTTAATTAACGTCATTAGTTTATATGTCAGCACCTCTTTTTTTTTTTTTTCTGAATTGATTGAGTTGAAAACTGAGAAGCAGCAGTACGTTAAATAGCATGTTGTAATCACACTTGTCACAGTAGTTAAGAAGTGCCTCCTTATAAAGATGGATTGTTTTTTTCTGATGCAAATTATTCTTTTATTTTTTGTTACTTTGTTTTAGGATTACACCCCGAAAATATGATGTCATTCAAGCATCTGAGCTTGGGCAGAAAGTTGGAACAATCACTGCTGATGTTGGAGATTTAACACTAAATCGAAGAGAAACAAGGACATCATTTACATTCAGGAAAGTGAGGAGAAGCCCTTGCAATTGCAGTAAGTGTCTTGAGATGATCTTCAGGTCAAAATTGTTATTTATTACCAACATGTAAGCATTTTTTTTGAGCAAACTGGTTTATCCCTTTGAGTAGTTTTGGCAGTCCTGGTAGCCATTTCTGAATGGCTCAGGGTTAGGCATACTGCATGGCTTGAATTGGTTGCATCCATTTGGCTGCTGTAGTTTCTCTATGCAGGAAGGCATTTGGCTTGCTCTAGAGCCAGGCAAGTAAATCTGGAATCTGGCATTTCATTGGGACCTCAAGCGCTGGAATAATGTACCAGAATAGAAGTAGCTATTATTCTTCAGGTTCCCATCAGTTTTTGTTGTCTTTTGTTTGAAGGGGACTGTAATTTTGTGAAAATAAGTGCATTAGAGAAGAAGCAGTCAGATCAGTAGTGATAGAGCCATGTAAGTGCCTTAGGGCAGGACAGATAATAATAGATAGGTGGCTCAACAATTACATGGAATTGAAGTCCATTTGTGCCCTCAGAACAGAATTTCAGAGGCTGAATTGCAATGATGTCATGATCTTTGATATTAGGGGCATTGTCTCAGTTTTGAAAACATAAACCTCGTTAACACAGCAGGATGAATGATCACTGCAAATGGCCTCTGGTACATGTGGGCGGGTTGCTTGTTTTAAGGTCATCAAACACTTCTGCAGTTTGACCTGCATTTCAGTTTTTAAAAGGTAAAGGAGGAATGAAGCATTTTTTTGCATTTTAGTATTTCACTTTTAATTTTATTTTGCTAAATAAGTTCAACCAACTTTAAAAAAAAAGACTTTAAAAAATTTTATTTTTTGTGTATCTGTTGCTATATCTAGTTTACCCATCTGTCTGTGACAGCCAGAAAGGACAGCAAAGACAGGTACCACCTTCATTTCCCCACAGTGAGATGGAGGCCTCAAGGCTGGAGCAAGAATATGTGCACAAGGTGTACGAAGAGATTGCCACACACTTCAGCAGTACCAGGCATAGCCCATGGCCCCGAATTGTAGAGTTTCTCAGGTCACTACCAAAAGGGTCAATAGTGGCGGATGTTGGTTGTGGTAATGGGAAATATCTAGGCATCAACGAGGATTTGTATATGGTAAGTAGTAGCTACCGTCATTTGTTTTCATTGGTACTAGTGTTTATTCCATTGTGCAGTTGTAGCATGTTGGAGCTTCAGTTGTGGGAAGAGCGCCAAGAACAGAAAGCTGTTTCCTGATCCAAGATCAATTACCAATTGTGTTAGGTTTCCACATCCATTCACTATGTGCATTACCCTTTTCTTTTCTCAAAGCCACTTTTGCTTTGCAAGTCAAAATATGTTCATTAAAAAAATAGTAATGGGTGCACTGGATTGAAGAATTGTAACAGGTGCTTTAGCCTTTTTGTTGTTGAATAAGCTTAATAAAAGGGAAAATGGTTGGGCAGTTTGAATGCTTCCAGCAAGGTTTTCACTTGGCTGGTGGGTGGGGAACGCAATGTACACATGCCTGAAATCTTCATGGGTGGTACTACTTTTCGTGTATCCTTCTTACTTCCCTTTGGCCTGGTGGCATGGCTCATTTGTGAATGATGCCATGTTTGGCTGTCCCACCTCTGACTCTGTGCATAGGCCCAGTAGTATGCCAACATAAAATTCATCGGGGAGTCTCAACTTCGGCACAGATTTCTGGCCTTTCTCTCACTCCCTTTTCTTCACTTTTAGACAGTTCTGACATCGTTCTTGCTGATGTTCTCATCACCTTCCCTGTCTCACAGTCTGTACTTAGCCCAGTTTTACTTCTCTCCCTTCCTATCAGGGAGACATGAAGCACATACAAATATGAACCAAGAGATTTTATTGCAGATGTTTCGAAGACTTTTTTACAAGGGTCAAACTTCCTGTTGTTTTAACCCAAAAGAAATCTTTCTGAGAGATGTGCATTATGCTATCTGCTCTCCCCTGTTCCAGAATTGTCTGATTCTTTCATGTGCTTGTACTGTGAAACACTTCGAAGTCCGTCAGGCTTGAAAACTTCTATGTAAGGCAATAATAGAAGTCAGACTTGTTTGTCTGTTTCAGGAGTTTCTGTCCTGCTATTTACATTCGGCTATAAAACATAAGTTGTTATTTACAGCCTTGTCTGTATTTATAATGGATTTATTTCCATTACTGTTCTTATAACCTAGAACAAAATCAACTGATTTATAAGGAGGTATATTTATGCCTGACTGCTGTAGCCTGAAAATAATTATTAATGTTCAGTACATTTCAGTCTTTCACTCCTGACTCTTGTAAGAAAAATCAGCAAATCTGACTAGAGAGGAGAAAAGTTTATCAGGATACCATGAAGGTCACCTGGTCCTAGAATGAATTTGGTAAATTGCTGTTGTGTAGGTTTGTGGAAGGCTTTTAAGCCAAAATCTCTGCAAGATGCTGTGTTGAGAAATTGCCAGCACTGGTCTGTTTTCTGGAGCCCACAGTTAACCAGCTAAGGGAAAGAAAGATCACGTATCTACTGGCAGCCAAATGAAAGCCAGCCCCTCTCCTTTCTTACTTTAGGAGTTACCTCATTTCATGTGTGCCTGCAGGAGAAATCCAAAATGTGAAAAAATAACAATGAAAGGGAGGAAACTTTTAAAGAAGCAGTTGAGACAGTTGAAAAACAATCTGGTAATTGCTTCATTCAGTTGGCCTCCCTTGATGTTTTATTTTCTACTTGTTACAACTAGTTCTTCTTGGTTGGAACTAGACTCTAGACTTTGCATTTGCTTATTTTCATCTGCAAGCTAGCACAGAGTTTCAGGAGGATGGATGTGACTCTTTCTACTATATTTATTTTTATATGTCAGCCAAAGTGTGGTTAAAGAAAAACCGGTGTATACCATGTTTACAGGTTTTTTTTAAACTTTTGACAAGGTATCTCAAAAAGACTTAGAGAACTAAATTATCATAGGTGAGAGGAACGGTGTGCTGTTACAGTGGTTTGGAGACAGAGGAAGGTAGGATTGTTGGATGTCATTCAGTGCTGATGAAAAGTTATCAGTGGGTGTCACTTAGATCACCTAGCATGGATATGAGTAGTTGCTGCTAGATCCAAGGGGACCTGATGTCTTGGGAGCAGGTTGAATTGCAGCAATCTGTTTTCTCCTGAGAGGACAAAATACTTCGGGCACATTTGGTGCCATTTATCAGATGGAACTTGCCGTCACAAAACACCAGAAAGCCAAGCACTGAGCAGCGGTCGTAGGGATTGGGTGAAATTCTTCTGAGAGACGTAAGATCACTTTGTTCATAGATAATACAAACCCTCGTTCTTTGACCTGAAGGAAAGTGCCAGTAGACAGGACTTAGCAAGACATTTTTCCTATGGTCACCTTTTTAGAGACTAAACTGTCCTGATGATTTTTTTTATGCATCTTCCTCTAAAGCAACTGGTAATGGCTATTACTTGAAGCAAGGTACTACTTTAAATACTTTGCTATTTCTGTGACTGCGGAAGTGACTGACGTCAGTTCTTTATTTTGTGGCTTCTGATTTGTCGGAAATCAGTACTCATTTATTCCTTAATGGGAAATCAGTACTCATATATTCCTTAATGGGATTTTTACCTCTATTCCCTTGCTGTACTGTTCTATAGGAAGTACTGTAGAACAAGTGTTAGTGATGTATCAGTGTTATCAGCCCATCTCCTTGGTATGGTGACTGTGTTGCATGAGTCAGCCTGTTCAACCGTTCTTTTTATCTGAGGGAGAAAGGAGCAGTATTCTCCACTTTTTGTCCTCCTCCTGGGTGCAACAGAAAGGTCTGATTATACAGAGCTGTTTCTCATATTGTGTTATTTCCATTTACCATGTGTTGGGCATGGATCCAAGGGTGAGGGGTTAAAGAATACGCTTTGTGAATCAGGTGCATCGTTGGGATAAGGAGGGTGCTCTCTAGATGCAGAGCATCAGTTTCCTCCCTCATTTACTCCTCTTGACTTGGGGGTGTAAAATCCAAGCAGAAACTTAATAAATTACTGCAGCCTTTCCTTCACAGCAATTGCTGTGGCTCTTGCTAAGTTTTTATGCACAGTGCACTGGAGCTCTTAGCCTACGTCCTATTGGGAAAGAAGCAATAGAGCAATGCTGTGAAATTAGGAGTTATTTAGGGGTTGAGTAGAGCACTGTCAGTACAGCCGTCTGGCTTGGTGTGTTTTGACTCAGAAATCCTGAAAACCTGAGGCAAGCACTTTCTGAAGGCAAATGATGTGCTATAAAGGTTATTGTACATTTTTAGATAGGATGCTTTAAGTAGCAGCGCTAATGGTAGATTAAAGCTAAGGTAGCTCTCTTGATGGTTTTAATCTTCAGGCACTGTCTGAAAATGTCTCCACTGTGGCCTGTGCTATTGTATTTGCTTCAGTTTCTTTAGATGATTACATACAGCCTTATCTACTTGGGTATAGTTGTGTGACAATGAAATGCATGTGAGTCCAGCTACGCTCAATGAAAATGACAGTCCTGTAATGGCTGCATTAATCTGACACAGTGAAAGAGCAGCCATTTCATGACAAACAAATTCAGATTAAGAATGTTTGAGTGAGAGATGGAATCCAAGTCTGATGTAGTTAGGACAAAGACTGAAGAAAGATTGAATTTAATAAAGTTTCAGATTACTTTTTCTCTCAGCCAGCTTTTTTATTGTTTGAATGAATGCAAAAGAGAGAAATGGTTTTAGGTTTTCTTTTTTTTGCACAATCCCCTCCGCACCCAACCTCATTTGGCAAATTATTTTAATAGTTTATATTTAAGTGCTTTCGAGCTTAATATTCATATCTGTAAGCAGGGCTTTTATTTTTACAGAATGCTACATTTCAGCCTTACCCATCCCCCCATCACCACAAGGGTTTCATTCCAGAGCCAGTTGACATCATTGCAATGTATCTCATCAATTTTTATAAGCTTTAGCTCTGTCTCCAAGTTTCCAGCGTTCAGGTAGGTGTGGTGACGTGTAAATCCCCCCAGGAATGTTCAGCATCCTCACAGGGCTAGGACGTGAGTGAAAGACATTGCAGCCTTTCAATTTCGTGGTTTACAGTTTTAATTGAACTGATAAACTGGTGGGAAATCCTGTAACAAACAACTGAAAATGCTATTGGGTAGATATTTTTTCTTCATATAACTATATATATCTCTTTTCTTTTTATATATATAAATTACTCTCCTTGCCAGAATACTGATGCTAAGAAGAAAAATGATGGCAATGTAGGAGCCCAAATGCTCTGCTTTAATACAGGCATTTCTATTTCTGTAGCGCGTGTCATTCAAAGGTAGTCAGTAATGTCGCTTGTATTTCACACGACCTTGTGAGACACCCTTTTGCTGTGAGATGTGCATATTTGTTTTCTGCATTACTGTCCCAAACTGCGATCCGCTGGAACTGTATAAAAGTTTGATTTTGCCAGGGTGTGGGGAAGAGAGAGGGTGAGGATTTGCTGTGGTATGGTTGCGTAATGGTGGGGGGGTTTTAGTTACACTGGGTCCATGTTGTTTGAGAACAGATTCCTATCCGAGAAAGGAAAAAACTAACTTGCAAAAGTATATTTGGAGCCAGTTCACTGTATTTTAGTGATCGGAGGGCGAGGCAGAGGAACCTTTCCTGCCCTTTTCTCTCAATGAGTAGGAATCATGGTGGGAAATCAGTAAGAAAATGACGGGAGGTGTGGGATGAAGAGAGCACAGAAGGAACTGGGCAACAGCAGCACAAAACCAGAATGAACGCTGAACTGCTCAACTTGGTTCTGATGCTTTGTCATTGAGAAAATGATTATCACGTTTTAGACATAGGACTTTGTTTCTACATCACCCTGACTGTACACAATGAAAAACCAAAACACTACGTGAAAGGAATGCTAAAGGCCTGACTCAGACCAACTGGAGCAAGGAGATTTGTCTTGCTGTGGCTGTGCTGCTGTCTCTTTTTCTATGTATGTGTGTGTTTGCTGGAATGTAATTTGGTTCCCTGAGGCGCTCATGCTATCAGTTATAGCTGAAGTGTTTCTCCGGGGAGCCGCATAATTCCATTTGGCGGCTGGATTTCAGAATTAGATGTCGTTTTCTTCATCAGTTTCTAAT